GCCCCCACATGGGGCTCGGCCCGAGGAGACCGAGCTCGAGCCGGGCCCGGCTCGGGCTTTTCCCGAACCGAGCCGAGCCCGAGCCGTCGATCTTTTTTGCCACCCCTAATTGCTTCTGCTTAACAAGCAGCATGTTTGATAGCACTGGATGTAACTTCTGATTAATTAATTTGTTATGGGACATGGAGCGATTTTTTGACTATGTTATTGAAGATTGCAAGCTCTATATTACAAATTTAACCAATGATTTTCTGCATCAAACTTTTTGTTCTGGATGACTCCTTTTAGATTGCTTAATAGAATGTCGAATCTTTAATTTCTTTAATCATTTATGATACTTTTCTCCTGTCTAAATTGTTCTCATTTAAGATTCACTTGCTTGTAATGTATTGATGAAGTTACTACATGTTCTACAATACATAATTTATTTACTGGTAAAGTTGAGGTACTTTACTTTTGTTAGTAACATAAAGACGTACATCCAAAATAAGTAACATATCCATAGAAAAGTAAAATATCCACAAGAAGGTTAGAAACAACAAAAGTTAGCAAAAATCAACTTGTACTATTTTTAAGCTTAGCCAAAGATGCTTTCGCTGGAGGCATTCCATTTGGTGGTCGAGCTAAGCTGTTTTAGAATACTTTATACGGTATTGTGAGTTTTTTTTTCTTGTTCTAATTTGTTTTGTCTGTCCTCCATAAGGATGGAATTGTGGCACTAGCCAAAGTGGAAGAAGCCTACAAGCATGAGAGCAAAACTAAAGAGGCAATTGGGGAATTCATCCGCTCTTGTTCATTCCATATTCTTCAGGATACTCTAGATGCAGCTGAGGATGAAACAGTAGAGAATAGATTGCTCCCTGCGATGAATAAAATTTGGCCTTTCTTGGTTTCTTGTGTCCGAAATAAGAATCTAGTGGTAAGTTAATTTATTTTCTCTGCTTAATAATCTGAAGTTAATGCCATTTTTGGTTTCCTTGCTTTTTCATACATTCTGGCAAAAAGAAGAAAGAAAACTAAATACTATCACACGATGCAAATGGTCCTAATTTTGTTGCTGGGTATTTGATACTTATTATTTTAGATGGAAATGCACTAAGATAAAATTTACAAGGATTTCACTGAAATCATTAAGTACGTGTAATGAACAGTACACTGTCAACAGCAAGTGACAAGATTATCTAATATTATTCGACGTGAATGTGTAAAGGCCAAAACAGCATAATACATAGAATCAATACACAGTTTTGCTTTTCTGTTTGATCCATCAGAAATCTCTTTACATGTCTTGGAATTTGTTGCTTATCTTATTTGAAACTTTTAATGCGCAAACCATTAGAAGATGTTCTCATGCGATTAGTACAGTGGTACAAATCTATGGGGGTAAGTTCTTTTCTCGCCATTTTTATGCTGATGGGATTCACTTCTGGAAACTTCTAAGCACATCACCCTTTCAAAAGAAACCCTTCTCAAGAGAAGAAAGAACCGCTTTGCAACTTCCTTACAGGAGTATCTCCACATCTTCATGGGATTCAGTTGCTGAAATTTCAAACGTGAAAGTCCAGGCGGAATTGCTGAACATGATTTCAGACTTGGCTCAGAACAAAAGAAGTGCTTCGGCATTGGAAGTCGTCTTCAAAAAGGTTAGTGGTCTGGTGGTCGGGATAGCATATAGTGGTGTTAAAGGTCTTCTAGATGCTTCTATTAATGCCCTTGTTGGACTTGCATGCGTAGACCCTGACCTGATATGGCTTTTATTATCTGATGTTTACTACGCGAGAAAGAAAGATTTGCCTTCACTGCTAACGGCTGAATTTCCTGAAATTACTGAAATTCTGCCTCCACCTTCATCCTATAAAGACTACATTTATGTGCTGCATGGTGTTGAAGTCTAAAATCGTAATCAGGAAAGATTAGAAGATTGTAGAGTATACAGGAAGGGAAGCTGCTGCCACTTGCATCAAGGAGTTAGATTAGATTCCAAATTCAGTTGTAATGCTGGTGTATAACAGATTCTTGTTTTACCACTTGGACAAAGTTGTTATAATTTGTGTATATATACTTGTAACCTTCTTCCATTTTTAATCAATGAAAAGTGATACAGCAGCACGTTTTCCTCTCTGTTTCCTCCATTCAATTTTGCTTAATTAATCTACATTCATTTAGCCACTTTTGTTAAATGGTATCAGAGCCAAGATGGCTGATAATGATGGTACAAGTGTTGCCAATACAAATCAAAACCCAATCCTGCCTCAAAACTCGAATCCAAATCCAAATCCAAATTCTCATGATCCATCCCTTCTCAGCAGTCCTTATTTCATTGGCGCAAATGAGAATTCTGGAGCATTGCTGGTAACACAGATGCTAGACTTTAGTAAATATCATTCTTGGAAAAGATCTATGAGAAAAGCCCTTCGAATCAAAAACAAACTTGGATTCATTGATGGAAGTCTCTGTGAACCTACTGATGTCAATAATCCATTGATGAAGTACTAGCTTCAGTGTAATAATATAGTTATCACTTGGCTGCAAAACACCATGACGATGGACAATAAGGCTAGCACGTTATATGCTGAAACAGCACACCAATTATGGCTGGAATTAGAACAGGGTTTGGCTAAACAAAATGCTCCTAGAATCTATGAAGTCAAATAGGGAATAACAACACTGATGCAAAGACAAGATACATTGCGCACTTATTTTTCAAAGCTGAAAACACTCCTCGATGAGCTAATGAACTATGAGTCTATTCCCAATTGCACATGTGGAGGGTTGCAGACGGTGGTTAGCAACCAAGAAAGGAACTGGGTGATGAAGTTCCTTATGGGACTGAATGACTCATACAAAAGCCTCAAGGCTCAAATCCTACTGGTCAAGCCATTTCCCAAATTGAATGAAGTATATTCCATAATTCAACATGAAGAAAAGATGAGAGACATTTCTGCTGATGAACCTATCTCTGAGGGAATGGCACTAATGGCGAGAAGAAGCAATCTGAGAGAGACAGAGATGAAGAATCTGGGACCTTAGAAGAAGTATTTCTGCACCTTTTGTAAGATATCTGGCCATTCACTAGATAGTTGTTTTAAGGCTAATAAGGATAAACCAGCTTGCACACGCTGTCAAATGTCAGCCCCCACCATTAGCAATTGTTTCAGAATTCATGGGTATCCTCCAAGTCACAGACTCTATGGAAAGGTGCAGGAGAATACTATTTTTACTGATCAGAATGCTGATCCTATAGGGCCTACACAAGAGCAAGTTGGTGACAGAAACCAAGTTACTTTGACTCAAGAGCAATATACTCAACTAATGGTTTTGGTCAAACCATCAGCCAGTCAATCTCATTCACTTTCTGCTAGTCATGTTCTGAACTCCCCTTCCACCAAACACATAGATGCACCTAAGATCTCTGGTACTTATATGTGTTTGTCTGCCCATAATGATAAAAGTAATGTCACTTCATCTATACGTTGGGTTATAGATACAGGAGCCACAGACCATATGATTTGCTCAATTCCATTTTTCACAGAAATTAAAACTAAAATCTCTCAGTCAATTAGACTACCTAATGGAGATGTGACACTTGCAACTCATGTAGGAAATGCTAGAGTCACAAATAATTTATTTCTCCATGATGTCTTGTATGTTCCATCATTCTCATTCAACCTCATTTCTGCTAGAAAATTTGCTCAGACATCCAACTGTTATCTTATATTTTCCTTTGATTTGTATTATCTACAGGACCTTTCAACTTGGAGGATGATTGGTCTGGGTAAAGTGAGGCAAGGACTACATCATTTGGTGTGAAATAAGTTCTCCCCCGCTAGTCTCATTCAGGATCTACCTAAGTTCACCAACCAAACCATTGTGTCTGCTGCTATCAACCAAGAAAATTATGATATGTGGCATTTCAGATTAGGTCATCCCTCAAATCCCAGGTTGCATTTAGCCAATTTACACCAGGATTCTAATTCTAAACACACCAAGAAGCCTTGTTCCATTTGTCCATTAGCTAAGCTTCATGGGCAGTCTTTCAATCCTAGTCATCATAGGTCAAAAAATTGTTTTGATTTGGTTCATTGTAACCTATGGGGACCTTGTACTGATATTGTTTATGATAGATCAAAGTACTTTCTTACCATTGTTGATGATCACAGCCGGTGCTCTTGGACTTATTTGTTAAAATTAAAATCTAATGCTTTTACTGCCTTGCAAACTTTTTATACAATATTGAGACACAATTTGATTCCAAAATCAAAATCATTAGAACTGACAATGGAGGAGAGTTTGATTTGAAACAGTTCTATTCAAAAAATGGCATTATAAATCAAACATCATGTGTAAAAACTCCTCAGCAAAATGCAGTGGTTGAAAGGAAGCATCAGCATATTTTAAATGTGGCAAGAGCACTAAGGTTTCAAAGTGGTTTGCCTATGCTGTTTTGGAATGACTTTATCCTAACAATAGTTTTCCTAATAAATAGAATACCCACTCCTATTTTAGACAACAAAACACCCTTTGAAGTTCTCTTCAAAACCGACCAGTTTATTATAATCTCAGGATATTTGGTTGCCTAGCCTTTGCTACCACACTTACACACAACAGACACAAATTTGATTCCAATGGGAGAAGGTGTGTATCCTTAGGATATCCATTTGGAACCAAAGGATACAAGTTGCTTGATTTGGGAACTAACAAAACCTTTATATCAAGAAATGGGGTGTTCCATGAAAATATATTTCCTTACAAAGACTCCAAAATTCAAGACCACAATGATCTTCCAAATCCTAGTCACAAGCTCCATACTCCTGCTTAGTTAGCTTATCCTGAACCAAGTGAAATTAACTTGGATTATCCAGTCAGTTCCGATCCTCGGTTGCAAATAGAACTAACACAAGAATCCAATCGAAATGTGAGGCCTTCAGAGGACAATCAACCTCATGCTGAATTAGAATCATCACCTTAAGTCTCTAGTAATTCTCATATACCTCGAAGGTCTGACAGAAGCAAAAGAACACCTGCTTATTTACAGGATTTTATTTACCAACAAGCATCCCCACTCACTCATTCTCAAGAATCCAACAAGAAGAAAGGGATTATAACTTCAGGTAATCCTTCTCCTTTATGTGCAATACTTTCATATCACAAATTTTCCAACAAACACAGAGTTTTTGTCTCATCCATACTTACACACCCTGAACCATCTACTTACCAAGAAGCTGTCAAATCCCCTGAATGGTGCAAAGCTATGCAAAATGAAATATGTGCTCTTGAGTTGAACAAAACTTGGACTGTGACTGATTTGCCATCTGGGAAGGTTCCTATAGGCTGCAGATGGGTTTATAAGGTGAAGTTCAATGCTGATGGAACAATTGAGAGGTATAAAGCAAAGCTGGTGGCAAAAGGATACACTCAGTTGGAGGGAATAGATTATCATGAGACCTTTTCACCTGTAGCAAAGTTGGTAACCGTGAGAACATTAATTGCGATAGCAGCTGCAAAGGGTTGGTTTTTACATCAATTTGATGTAAACAATGCATTCTTACACGAAGACTAAGAGGAAGAAGTTTATATGCAAATCCCTCAAGGCTACTCTGTTAACGGAGCCTCAAGAGTCTGCAAACTCAACAAAAGCCTGTATGATTTAAAGCAAGTTCTCGTCAATGGTACTCAAAGCTGTCATTTTTATCATTGAACAAGGCTTTCATCAATCTAAGGCAGACTACGATTTGTTCACAAGAAGCACAAGCAATTATTTTACTGCCATACTGGTTTATGTCGATGACATAATAATGGTTGGAGACAATGTAGAAGATATTAATTCCCTTAAGGTTTTGCTTGATGATAAATTTAAGATTAAAGGTTTGGGAAACTTGAAATATTTTCTTGGAATAGAGGTTGCTAGATCGACCAAAGGAATTCAAATTTGCCAGAGGAAATATGCATTGGATATTCTGGCAGATTCAGGAACTATTGGGGCCACTCCATCTAAGATCCCACTTGATCAAAACACTAAACAATCTAAAGATGAGGGTGAGGTACTTTTGATCTATCTTTATATAGAAGATTAGTAGGCGGATTACTTTATCTAACAATTACTTTATCTAACAATCACCAGGCCTGATCTATCATACTCAGTACATTTATTAAGTCAATATATGCAAAGTCCTAGGACATCACACCTCAATGCTGCACATAAAGTACTTAGATACATCAAGAGAGCACCGGACCTAGGACTAATATTCTCCTCATCCTCAGACTTACAACTTAAAGCCTACACTGAATCAGATTGGGGGGCATGTCCAGATTCTAGGAGATCAATAACAAGATATTGTGTTTTTATTGGCTCCTCACTGATATCTTGGAAATCCAATAAGCAAAACACCATTTCTAGATCATCAGCAGAAGCAGAATACAGGGCAATGGCAGATGTTTGTTGTGAACTAACATGGCTGAGAAATATCCTTGATGATTTACAAATCCCTCATCCACAACCAGCTGAGCTATCGTGTGACAATCAAGCGGCCTTACACATTGCGGCCAATCCGGTATTCCATGAAAGAACCAAGCACAATGAGTTGGATAGACATTTAGTTCGTGACAAGATACAAGAAGGAAGAATAATTACGAAGTATGTAAGAACTGGTTCACAAATTGCTGACATCTTTACTAAGCCTCTATGCTTTGACATCTTTCATTCACATTTATCCAAGATGGCAGTAGAAAACATCTACTCTCCATCTTGAGGGAGGCTGTTGAAGTCCAAAATCGTAATCAAGAAAGATTAGAAGATTGTAGAGTATACTGGAAGGGAAGCTGCTGCCCCTTGCTCCAAGGAGTTAGATTAGATTCCAAATTCATTTGTAATGCTGGTGTATAACATATTCTTATTTTACCACTTGTACAAAGTTGTTATATTTTGTGTATATATAATTGTAACCTTCTTCCATTTTTAATTAATGAAAAGTGATACAGCAGCACGTTTTTCTCTCTGCTTCCTCCATTCAGTTTTGCTTAATTAATCTACATTCATTTAGCCACTTTTGTTATATATACATGGAGCTCAAAGTTAATGGTTTGACGTTGATTTCACTTCCGTGGAGACTGTGTTCAAGAGATTGCATGCCAAAGTTTTTACTAAGCAGATGTACAGTTAAATCATCTCAAGAAGGACAAATTGTATATTACATTTTCCTTCGTTCACACAATTTTTCAGACATCTATTGCTACGATGGATGCATAGTTTGGTGACATGGACCAAGCCGTAGAGGACAATATTCAATAAAAATGATATTTATATACATGTGACCTTATTTAACTTTTGAAAGAGGTACGAGGTCTTGTGGTCGGATAACACATGGTCGATATCTGGATTAAAAAATGTCAACTCTCTCATGTGTGTGTGTTCGGTCATCCCCTATGTCATCGCCTATGTTCGTGTAGCATAGTTCAAAAAAATTAATTCTAAATGGCTGGATTATAGATTGCATAACATACTATTGAAGTGACCTAGAACAAGAATTGAGTTTGATTTCGATAAACGAAATTCATTATTTGAATCCTATTCTTAAATACCCTTATAGAAAGCCATCCACCACCACTAATAAAACTATGTCATTTCTTCAATATATAAATGTGAAAATTACCCAATTCCCT